GGTCTTGTCCGTCGCCACTTCCCCCGCGGCCCAGTAGTCTTAGTTACTGACTCTCAGATCTGTTGCGTTAGTTCTGGCCCTACAGAAAACAAACGGGATATGCACTGCTGATGGCTCGTAATATACGATGAAACGGTCTTTCAGTGCCTCTCTAGAAGCATGACGGCCATCCGACACCGTTCATTACAACATCATCCATTGTGAATAGAAACTCTTCTTCTTTGCTCGGTCTACGCCCCACATCAGCCAAATGTGCATTATTTTCATTGGCCCTACCATTTTTAATACCACTGCAGTGACAATGGACAAGAAGCGATACATCATTCCTCCTCCAACTTGTCTAAGTGACACGTGGATAAACGATGGTTACTGTCTTTTTTCCATATGTTGCTGCCACTGGTACGGCTTTTATTGATTGACAGATGTCCCGTGCTCCTACGCTGAATGTCCCCACTGTGAAATCTGGTCCCTTTTATATCTGTTTTTAATTCTTTCCCGATCTCCCGGAACCCTTGCTTAACCAATGGGTTTGGATCAATAAAGCATCTATTAAAGTGGCCCATAGTTGTACGTGATAACCCTTGGGATGTTCGCCCTCACCTAACTGGCATGGTTTTGTCATTTTTGCCTAGTCATGACCTTAGTAGGATACTACTTACGCAAGCATTAGCTTAGTGTTGCTTTGTCAAAAACGCAACCAACCGGTATGGGGCTGTCGGATTTACAGCCTCTGGATGCTATAAAGCGTAGTAGAGGAGCACCTGAGTGAACGCTGGTAGATGTCTTTTGTAGTGTCTAATCAAAGTCATTTCTTTGGGCTTCGGTCGGTAGTTTCTACGTCCTTGGTTCGCGTCTAAGCTTCACTTTCTTCACCTACGGAGTAAAGGCTAGTATGAAATATGTCGTTACGAGTGGGCAACATCTAACACGTATCGGCTTCAGATGCTGCTCCACTTTTTGAATTGGTCGAGATTCACCTTAAAATTAATCGCTGTTTGCCTTGAGATAGCGCCTTGCAATCAATTCACTCAACGCGTGCTTCGAAATGAACTATCAATAGGCGATTCTTCGTCTGTGTCAGGAAGTGTCACCAGCCAATTCACACGTAAGATGATGACCATTAGCCATGGCCATAGGACCACTGCAGTCAAAATCCGAAAAATAATCCTCCTTGCGCGTTCGGTGGTGGTCTAATCCCGTTTCCATTGACAGCCACGGAAAATCGAAGCCTTTTTAGGTTGGCGTGACCACGCTAAGGTTTGTTTGGCACGTGATCTTACTTTTTACATGTTAAGACCGTCTACTCCCCTTATAGGTACTTCTCAGTTACCCTTAATTTGCTGAAGACGATATTTTTTCATCACTTGCTACATCCCTCACTGCGAAAATGATACCTCCCTTAGCAGTAAAATGTCGGCATTTAGTTTACTTCATTTCGTCATTCCTACTCCTCTCTTCTCTTTCGTCGACACTTTTGATAACCCGACATCGCTGTGCTTCTCCGTCAACTGTCTTAGACAGCTATTTTCCACGAGCACGTCGGTGATACACTTTGTTTCCTTTCTCCCACAGTTTATCAAGTAGGTGCATTCCGCACGAATGAGCAACTTTTCCTTTTCGCTGCCTCGTGGGTGTGAAGCAAATGGGACTGGCCGATGTTAATTGTACCATGTAAAGGTTTCAATATTCACTTTCCTTCGTGTTTTACCGCGTGTGCCTTTCATCTGCAATGTGCGGAGAGTGCTTCCACAGGGCTGCAACTGTTCCCACTCATGGAACAACTCTAACTCACCAGTCAAAGTACTCACTTACATAGCTGTATCGCCCCTGGTAGTTACATCATCAGTGAGGTCATATGCCTACTCGAAACCTCAGCCACCTATTGTGGTGGCGATATATATGTTGGTCAGGAAAAGAGTATGCGATGTTGCGATTCCCACCGTATTGCACTAATCTGTGACAGCTCACAAGCGTTCCAAGCAACAATAGACAGATCAGTTCTAGCCGTCAGCTGTTTCGGGTTTTGCTTTGCACTTTCCAAATGCGAAGCTTTCCCCCAGATGTGGCCCTCTGCACTGGACCTTGTTGAGGATCGGCCTTATGTCCTTCAGTAATTCAAGTGCCTGGGCAGATGTATCACCGCCTGTGGAATAGAAAGTGAGGTCACAAACCGTGTAGCAAAAGCTCGAGGTTATTTTGCCCAAATTCACCACTTAAAGCGTCGGCGCGACATTGCTCTATTCCTGTGTTAAACACTGCATTACAACCGTCCGTTTAACCCTGCTGTACGGTTGTGAAACCTGACCCATCAAACTGACAGACATAAGGAGGTTAGTTGCTTTCAGCCATGGATGTTTTCGCAGTTTAGTTCAAGTCTGATGGGAACACCGCGTGAGCAATGAGTGCATTTGGCTTCTTTTTTGTGGCACGCGAAATAGAAGCGAGCCGCTCAGCATCATTATTTCACGCACCTGTTTGGGGTCCGAAAGACGATGACCATATCTGATTGACCGATGGCCAAAAATTACACGCTAGCTGGAATCTGTGTGTACCAAGCTTACGCGCGAATGGGTAATCGAACGTCACCGAGGCATCAGTACAGATGCGCCGGTCTACTGCTTTTGTGTTCGAGCCGTGTCCCGTGCCTCGGCCATGTTATTCACATATCTGTAGACCGTATTCCGCACCTAGTTAACTGAAATCCGGGGGTCTCAAAATGATGACTTGCTTGTTTCAAGCCGGTCAGTAGTTTTAAGGATCACAAGCCTGCATTGTAATCCGAGGGCGCGTGTTCAAGTCTGCGTAGGGTCCAGGCGGCCCTCGCACTGTCCTTAGCCCACATGCAACTGGTGGTGGTTGCGCAGCAGCGAGGCGTCGGTACTGCGTACCGGAGTACTACTGATGTTTTCTTTCTTCTTCTGTTGTAAGGCACGTCAGCACCTGACCGAATAAGACGTGGAAGTGCGGATGAAACCTTGCGTGGGATTACCCCGCATGAAAGCAGACCCCCAGGAGACGGTTCCATGGATATCTGGCCGTATTACTTTACTTGAACTGCCGGTTATACCTACATTTATTCTTGAACTCAAACTCCATCTTTTATTATTTTCAACTGATAGAACACTCCTAACACTCCATTGAGACCAACGAAAAACTCGAACAACTTTCTCCACTGTTCAGTTATGTTGTACATAATGACCAGGCTATGTAATCAGTCTGTATCGCAAGGTCGCGAGATATGCCATTTATTTATCTTGCGGAAACCTACTGAAATATTGAGTCGTGCAGGTGCTTGTCGCCTTCCTAAATGGGGGCTTCGAGGTTATGCACATCAGTGTTTTGACGCCCTTTTCTTATCTGACACAATCACGAAATCAGTGGCGCTCTTGTATTCGTTCCGCTATTTCAGGTTCCTTGCTACTCTCCCTCGAGTTTTTATTTACTGCTCATTCGTGCATTATGATTGACTGTTTTTGTTTTTTACTGTTCGTGTTGTTGCTGCTGCTGCCGTTGTTTTTCTTTACCTTAGCCAGGGGAGCTCGATCCAGCTCAGTGCGTCTTTTAGTTAATAAACTGTTCTAGATTCCTTCATTACCATTTGGCAGATGAGCCAACTGGTAGCGGTGTCTCTGGAACTGACGAGAATGTCCACTTCATTCAGCTCAGTTTTCTAATTGAATTCTAGTTTGACAGGAACACTAGCAGTTTTGTCGACCATTCGATTTGTGTCCTCGAGGGACTTGATTCGATGATACGACTCACGTATCGTCTGTAGTGCGAGTGAACTTCACAGTGCGGGTTGATACTGACCTATTTCATCTGTGGATATTTTGTTATCTTCCTGTACTGTTTTCCTCGTAAGTGCTACTAGGCAGATAAAACAATCTACAAACTCCGTTGGCCAATGTCTAACCCCAACACTGGTTGTGCGTGTTCCTTGCAAATGCTCATAATTTCGGACACAAGCACGTCTACAACTCTTCAAGTCATTCTTCACCGATTGTATCACCGCACTGATTGAAGCGTAATGGACTATCTAGTGTTTGGGACAGAAAATTATCGGCACTTGATCTATCTATCAACTGCTAATAAACGCACTCAGACTTGAGTGTTCAACCCACTGCACTTGCCCGACACCAAGGAAGATATACTTAATCACACACGCCAGTGTTGGTACGATCAACTTTCGCACATGCTCGGCTCGACTGAAAAGTGGGCCGATGACTGACGGATCTGCAGGTTTAGGAACTTACAACAACTTCCACATTCATCGAGAAATTAAGTAACGAGGTCACTTGATGTTCATTTCGGAGTAAGCATGGGTGAGCGGTAAACCCCTCGTCGGATTGGCGTTGTACGGTTCAGTTCTGGTCCATACAGCGTAGCGCGTTGAACCCAATAGCATCTAGTCACGCTACCCATAAATAATAACACATAGTAATTCAAAAGAAGTAGCGGAACGTACTTGTGTCAGGTGGTGGAGTCGGGGGCCATGCGCGAGGCAACAAATGCACGGGCACCGTTAACTTTGTGCTTGTGACAGCTCCTGAAACACTTACTCAGCAATTTGGTGCTTACCCACCTCAAATGACCTCTCGAAGAATTCCTTCTCATGCTCTTTTCACATCACATTAACTGTCCACCTCGGTGGCTCACACAATTTGGGATGGGATTGGTAAACATCGCATGCCGAGGCAACAGGTTGTCATGCATATCTTCTGTCCCGACATCTACCCTGTTCCTACTTATCATTTAAATTGGATGTTTCGTAGATTATGATTTTACGCTAGGGTTTTTTTTATGCCCGGCGCTAGTGTTGCTTCGGGTACGTTTGTGTGACTATACTCCCAAACTCCCCTCACATCCTTTAATTTCCTGTTTTACGTTTTTTAATGCTCTTATCCCTATGGTAAGTATACATCGAGGCCCATAATTATCCACTACATTTGTGATCGCTTGCTTCTTTTCTTAATTGAATTCCCTTTACTCCTTTTTTACAGGTTGGTGGATTGGAAGGCCTAAAATCGCAGGTAAGACTTTCTCTGATGGCGTGCACATGTAGTGGACCTGTTGCAGAATTTCTGGTGCGTTGCTCGCTCTCGGCCGGTCGTCATGGGATTGTTTTCCTCCAACCTACTTACATCGGCCCTTCAACACTCCAGGCACAACTCCCCAATGCCATGTACCGTGTTTTCTGTATAGAGATCACTTATATTGATCCCGCATATCCCATCTGGACCTCTGCCGCACTGATGTGTAGAATAATCTTTCGCCAACCAAAACAACATCTGGACTATGACCATCAATCTGTTGTTATTATTATACCATTAATTTCTGGTGCTGTGGTAGGGTTGCGCTTCTGGAAGGACCCAGTCAACAGAAGGTTGGAGAATATCTTTCATGTTCCATTTGTGCGTATGTCAATGATGCAAGCGCACGCGACTACATTTGTATGAAGTTGAGTTACTCCCACTTGATTGGCTCCATATGGCATCGACAATGCGTATCTGCCTCGGGAACACGGTGAGCTGTGATTGGCTCACACAATGAGTAGCACCCGACCAATACGGAATTTGGCTCGTTGCGCAACGTCAAACGTAAGGTAGAATCAGCCAAAATTTTGCCATCACTGAATCATCACGACTCGGTGTGTGCTACTACAGACAAAACATCGCTTTTAGCTCGTCACTACCTCTTCTTTGAGAGCATGTGCAACAGTGAAGACATTGAACGGGTCGAGATACTAAAGTCCGTCCGCTGGCGTTTGGCAGCAGTTACTGTGGCGTCACACCGGCATGTTTACTAACTGACGGCCTCAGCGTGTATTGTCTACTAGTTCGTCACTCACTTGTGTGGAACTCTGGATGTCCATACAAGAATATACTAAAAGAGCGCAAGAAAACTCGATCATAGGTCGACTGTTGTTGCGTATCGTATTACTGACCAGTCGCCTTGGGGTAGGTCACATCGGTGCCACTGTAACGACGGTACACTTAAATCTAAATGCGTCACAGAAGGCGTATAAATGCATCAGTGCTTCATACTATAAAACGGCTGTTCACACGGCCTGGACAGAAAGCGATGAGGCAAAATCGACCATTCTGTTTCCGTAGCAGTAGTTCTGGAAAGGCAAATTACACCAAAAGCAGAACTCAGTACTAGCTGATCAACTTACGAGCATCGGAAGGAATCATCGAAACGTAATGGTCAGATTGTTGGCTCGTAGTTGAGCGTATAGTATTTGACTTTGAAGCAGAGTGTGTGTGTGTGATAGGAAATCCAACTAATGGCATCGAATTTTTGCATGTGACTTTTTAAAACGCACGAAGCACGACATTAGCTGCGATTGGGGATGCTGAGTGTTCAGGGGGTACTAATCGGTCCGGCGCGATGAATCGAACTACTTGCATATTTTACTCGCACAGTGACGTGTGTCGAGGTATTTGTTTCCATCGCTCTTTGTTTATAGTCCACAAAGTCGTTCCGAACACTTCGGAGATAGGGGCACCACTCCGCTTGCTGGGACTGTGGGAATGCTAGCGATTTGTAGATTATATTAGATTGTAACGATCAATAAACAAAACAGCAAACACCGATGTCTGTAGGGTGCCACCCAACGAGTCAATCGGCAACTCAGATTTGCCTTACTAAATTCGACTGATCTTTGCGGGCCTTCCTTCACATATCACCCAGGGCGGCGAAGCACATCCCGTTTTAATCTTGTACAGCACGGTTCATCCAACAATCTCCTTTTTTCACAACCAAATCCCTTCAGGTGAAGCCCAGCACCACGACTTTTCCCTCTCTTATTGTACTGGTGCCAGCAGCAATAGCCTAATAGGTGTCGCCACGTTCCCATACTCTGCGTTTTAACACTTCTAACCAGTCGTGACTTCTGACTAAGGTTTGTCGACCTCCTCTGTTGCTTTCTATAGATTTATTTTTGAAATTTCTGAATACATACTAAACAGCTGCTCTCTTCCAAACCGTCCCTTCAGCTCGAACACGCGAACTACACCAATCAAAATTCACGCTCTTCCGTTGGATCAATATGCATTGAGGACTCTCCACTCCCCCCGTCTTCTTTAACTGGTCCCTTGTTTACTTCGGAACCAACAGAAGAATCTCCGCTACTCCAACACAGGTGGGTGCCTGTTTAGTCGCACATGTCCGCCACATTTTCACCCCGCCCAGCTGTTCATACACTTAGTGTTACTTCCTTTGATCTCTGACTGAACCATCCCCATCAGCTGGCACCACACTTGTCGCAAGCATTCCAAGCACCTTCGTGGTTTCTACGTTTGTGTCATCCACTGTTGCACCTTTCCCTAATTGTCATCACTTTTCTATTCGGAGCGAACGACATTATCTTTTTGTGAATTGTGCCGCACGAACGAAACGAATATTCACGCATCCGAAGACAGGAGAGCGAAAGGATGATAGGACTCTGGTAGAGTACTTTCGTGACCCAGCAAAAGGTTTTGTTTAACCCCATATGTATGACCGTCGCTGCGTTATAATGATGTACATTACACTCGTTGTTGCTTTTCTGGATCATTTGCGGCTTTTGTATGCATAAAAGACAAATAGTAATTTTTTGACCTTGCAGAGGCTGCATAGGTCTCATTTTAACTTCTGACTGCCAAGACAGGGTCACACAACGCATGTAGCCAATTGCTTTGTCCCCGGACTTCAACACTGCCTTCGATTCGGCTACTCACCCTCTCCTGGCCGTCACACTTTATCTTAAATGTTTCCGTATAAAACATGAATATTTTGTGTGCTCTGAACTCGAACAGTCCAGATCACATTATGACGAATCATCGGACAAATTGACCCTTGTCTCGTTCGCACGTACGGTTCGAGGAAACAATCGTTGATCTGGCAGCGGGAAATGAAATTCGAGCCCTACTAGGGTCTATCCGACCACGAGGCACGTTTGCCACCATCAATAAGCCGGATTTTCCGTTTGGTGTATGTACGATACTGAGTTATTTATACGGTAAGATAAGTTGCGACGCTGTGCAGTGGGACCCGAAAGGAAGCTACTTCAATGATGCCGCTTTGCTCTCCGAGATAGTCGTTTGTGCTTGAGCCTACGGTGTTATTAACATGTGGGCACTTTGATCATAGATAATTGTTTGCGCCGCCTTACGTCTTGTCCTAACCTCTTATAATTTCACACTAGCAGAGCAATTTTGGTTATCTCTCAGTGAAATGTCATACAACGTATTGATGTATTACTGTTGGCGATGGTGCTGACTGTCGCCAGCTCTTCTTCAGGACCCTAGCACTGCGATATTGTGACAACATCTGACAACTGTTAAGTTTCCGCTATCGACCTTCGGCCGCGAACTTCTAACCTATGGGCCAAAAACCGTTTAAGCTGTGGATTCTAGTCTCGGAGAAACTGTGCACTTCTGCACTAGGGATATATAGTGTGCGCCTAAGTGTTGATTATTGCTCCATGCTACATCACCTGATATGAACAATTAATTATGCACATTTATCTACATCACTATATACGGCGTATATTGCTGCCCGTTTGAAACTCCTCGACTGCCGGCGCAAAGCAATGTTGCAACTCGGTGCGAAATTTTTGGCTCCATGTGGTCCAAGGTAGTGCTATTACGTCCAGGTGTACGAAATAAAGGGATTTGAGTCGTCGAGGGACTAATCACAAGGAATGGACACTAGCGCAACAATCTTCAAGATGGGTCCTTCTCACAGCAACAGGTTTCCCTCAAATTTCCCATCTCCAACCTGTAGAGTTAGGAGACTGAGTTAGTTTGATCTCATACCATTGATTAACCTATTAGTACTGGCTGTCAAAATATCCTAATGTTCCATCCAGTATGGATCAGTGGCGCAACATCGTCACATCGCGATCGTGCCAACAATGATTATGAGACCGTTTTGGAGGTGGCTGGTTTTGGCTTGAGCCATGTATTTTCCAGGTGGCAATCAGACTGCTACTCTTCCGATTATTCACCGAATCGGTTGCGCACGATAGGTTTATACGACCATAGAATCAGCGCTAGCGTAATTAACGTTAGATACTGCTGAGCAGTCGAGATGGGGCGCCATTTACTCCAACTCAAGCGGTCGATCAACTTGGATTGTCCTGTCTTATTCCATTCTTCAGCTTGCCACAGGTCAGAGAACTCTTTATCTAACCCACTTTTCGTTCGTTTTCTATTTGCAGTAGTAAGGGGAGCCTTAGGGTTTTGTTTTCTCAGCTCGCTGTAGTTAATCAGCTGTGCTCGTGACACGGAATTTTGGTGCACCTGTTCGAACTGCCGTGACCATAAAACTTCGATGATCTTGCCATGCAATTTGATCGGAGAATCTGTCGGTGTTTCTTGCACTGTAGTTTAATTTGCTATCTCCTTATTTAAGCAACTTGAAAATTCCCATTTAGAGTCAAAAGAACACGAGACCATAGGTGAACAATTGTTTTCGATGATTCTCTTCAGACCAGTACAATCATATTTAAGAGTAAAACAATGAACTGAAATCGACTCACTGGGTCAAGTTACATAGTTAATTAACAGATCAGTGAGGGAGGCTAAAAATTGATCATTGATCTGACTGGTCGATTGCATGTTATCGAGCTTGGTTGGTGGCAATCGACCTCAGTATCGTTCGTTCTAGCTGGCCAGGGAAGCTGTAAGGCATGAAGTAACTTCTTTTGCGAGCATAATGAAGGTTGCAACAACCGAATGCAAATCGATTCAGCTGTTGCGAGCGCACGGAGGCGTAAACCTCTTGATTGATGATGGGGGACCCTGTAAATTATCCTGAAGGCACGCTTTAGATCGACTTGGTGCCCCGTGTCGACAATATGGGCCAAAACGGCGCTGCTAATGGCCCCAGTTCCTCCTTGACGCAACCAGCGCGGGCAGTGCTCCTTCACGCGTTTGGACAAGTGCCTTGCCGTTCGACCAATATAAGTAGCGTCACAAACGCACTTGAACTGATAAATAACCATAGATGAGGTCAGCATTGGCAGTGTATCCTTATTGCGTGAACAAACAAGTGGTTCAGTAGAAAATGTGCACTTTAACCTGGCTGCTGGGAATGTCGACTTGACTACCGCTGAAAGACTTTTGGTTAGGCGCTCGGCAGCGGCATCCCCCTTAAAAGGTATTCTTAAAAATAACTCCTTCTTCGCCGCGGTTAAAACTGGTACCGGCTTGGGTTTTTCTTCAAAATTCTTTGAAACAAATCTGTCAGGATAGCCATTCTCGCGCAGCGTATTCTTTATAAAGGCTAGTTCCTCATCCAGGGTGTCCTGTGAGCAAATTCTACGTGCTCTTGTGGTAAGGCAGTGGATTAAGTTTCGCTTATATCTCAGTGGGACGAAACTGTGAAAATTCGTATATTGACCAATCCACGTATTTTTCCTGTAGACTTTCCGCTGGATGGAGCCGTCTGGCCTCCTAGTTAACAAGACATCTAGATATGGAAGCCGATTGCAAGTTTCTGTCTCGTAGGTAAATTGCAATGCTGCGTGAGCCCGGTTAAAACGATTGAGAACCCCATCCAGATTTATGCCTTTATTCGCCAAGTTGTCTCATCGGCTCAAGAATTCCTACAAGCCACTGGGCAACTGCGTGGTAGGGGGAGTTAACCATTGACAGAATAGGACGAAGCGGGATGTCGGCCTTATGGACTTTTGGTAAGCCGTAAAGTCTCGGGACGTTTGTGCCACAAGGTCTAAGACTGTCATACAATACATCGGTTATGTACCCCTTGGCCCGAAGCTCTTGTAGGCTTTTAGTGATCTGTCTCTCAATCTGTTCCGTTTGGTCAGCTTCCCTTGTGTCGCAGGAAAATTTCGTCTTGTCGCTCAGCCTGCGCGACAGTTTTCAGTTTGTCGAGAGCATCAAGGAGGCCAATATTAATGAGAAAGTGATGCTCTCCTTTGATGTTGTCTCTCTTTTCACTAACGTCCCGCTGATCGAAACCATCGATTACATTTGCGAGCAGATAACGAAGTTGGAAATTAAGATTTGTATACCTGTGCTTGAATTGAAAAACTTATTGCTGCGGTGCACATGGAATGTGCAATTTCTATTTAATGGAAAATTTTACCGGCAAAAGGATGGCGTAGCCATGGGATCCCCCCTCGGTCCATTGTTCGCAGATATATTCATGGCCAAATTGGAGCAAACAAAATTGCAGGCTGAGATAACATCTTTTGATCACTATCATCGTTATATGGATGATATATTTATAGTGGCGAATAAAGGCATAAATCTGGATGGGGTTCTCAATCGTTTTAACCGGGCTCACGCAGCATTGCAATTTACCTACGAGACAGAAACTTGCAATCGGCTTCCATATCTAGATGTCTTGTTAACTAGGAGGCCAGACGGCTCCATCCAGCGGAAAGTCTACAGGAAAAATACGTGGATTGGTCAATATACGAATTTTCACAGTTTCGTCCCACTGAGATATAAGCGAAACTTAATCCACTGCCTTACCACAAGAGCACGTAGAATTTGCTCACAGGACACCCTGGATGAGGAACTAGCCTTTATAAAGAATACGCTGCGCGAGAATGGCTATCCTGACAGATTTGTTTCAAAGAATTTTGAAGAAAAACCCAAGCCGGTACCAGTTTTAACCGCGGCGAAGAAGGAGTTATTTTTAAGAATACCTTTTAAGGGGGATGCCGCTGCCGAGCGCCTAACCAAAAGTCTTTCAGCGGTAGTCAAGTCGACATTCCCAGCAGCCAGGTTAAAGTGCACATTTTCTACTGAACCACTTGTTTGTTCACGCAATAAGGATACACTGCCAATGCTGACCTCATCTATGGTTATTTATCAGTTCAAGTGCGTTTGTGACGCTACTTATATTGGTCGAACGGCAAGGCACTTGTCCAAACGCGTGAAGGAGCACTGCCCGCGCTGGTTGCGTCAAGGAGGAACTGGGGCCATTAGCAGCGCCGTTTTGGCCCATATTGTCGACACGGGGCACCAAGTCGATCTAAAGCGTGCCTTCAGGATAATTTACAGGGTCCCCCATCATCAATCAAGAGGTTTACGCCTCCGTGCGCTCGCAACAGCTGAATCGATTTGCATTCGGTTGTTGCAACCTTCATTATGCTCGCAAAAGAAGTTACTTCATGCCTTACAGCTTCCCTGGCCAGCTAGAACGAACGATACTGAGGTCGATTGCCACCAACCAAGCTCGATAACATGCAATCGACCAGTCAGATCAATGATCAATTTTTAGCCTCCCTCACTGATCTGTTAATTAACTATGTAACTTGACCCAGTGAGTCGATTTCAGTTCATTGTTTTACTCTTAAATATGATTGTACTGGTCTGAAGAGAATCATCGAAAACAATTGTTCACCTATGGTCTCGTGTTCTTTTTATCTCCTTATTTATTTTCATTACTGTTGTTAACCTTCCCCTATTTATTATACTCTTCTTTGCTCCATTGTTGGCCACGACTGAGTCGCTCTCCCGAGGTGACGGGTAGAAGCTTCCAATCTAAGAAGTGGTCCCATTAAAGGTGTATTGTGATCGACTCACTTGTGAGTAATAAAAGTGGATGACTCAAAAGCGATTTATGCTACAGACTACAGCGCTTGTATGTTCTAAGTATATATATACACCTAAAAATTGCCCTAAAGTTGGGTTAACTAAGTAATGGCTGACCTGCTTTAAAGTCCAATCAGCATACCATCAGATGGGGCATGGATATGCAGGTGAAACCTTTCGAGAAACTCTACCCCGCGAGGAAGCAGATCCCCTGGAGACGGTTCTATGGCAGACCGTGTTACATCACGTTAACATTTCGATTTATATGCATTTATTATTATCATCCCGTCTCAACGAGCGACGGTTCGCGTATCTCTTTGATCCATTGAGCTATACCGGGTAGTGTCTTCGGGCCCCTTGTGAGATACTCTTACCAGGTTGGTCAATGGTTAGAGGTCAGACAAACTCAGTCTCCTGCTCCCCCATGTTAGGAATCTGAAATGGGATGGTGTCCATTTCTGCAAAACTAAATCATTACCACCACCACCACCTTGTCTTGCGGACAGGCTTTTGAGCCCAAGGCTTTGGTTGAGGACCCTAATCGTCCTCCTGTCTATGTCTGGGCGCTTTAGCACTATCTCAGCCCACATACAACCGTGTCAATTTTTCTGAACTCCAAACTACATCCTGCATCGGCCATCACGCAGATTATCAAGGGTCGCCTTATCTGCTGCATACATGAGGGCGGATAAGCGAAAACATGCTACTGCTGTCGCCTCTTTTCTTTTCCACCTGTTTCTCTTACTTCCATCCCGACCCCATTACTAACCTTCCTTCTATAATTCCCAGCTTAATTGACAGCAACCGAAGTGCCACTGGAGTAGAACCATGTGCAGCCACTTTCCCGCAACACTCACCGGACGTCTATCGTCAACCGTCCCTTATAAGGCCACGCTGTCCCGTTTCTCTGGCGGCGTTCAACGTCCGCACTCTAACACAAATAGATCAACTGGTTGCACTCGCACGCACCTTGGACACACTGGGTATTGACGTATGTTGTGTGTCCGAAACCAGGACCAAGGACCCTAATGAGGTAGTTGAATTAACTGCACCCGACTTATCCTCTCGTTATTGGTTGCACGCATCCGGAGACGCCGATGCAGCACTCAAGGGATAAGCTGGTTAAGTATCATTATATTTTGCAAGGCTGAACTATCGATGGTTGATTGGATTCGGGAGAACAGCCGCTTATGTGCAGCCCGTTTGAGGACATTACCTAAGGTTGATTCACGAAGTAGTGCAAAACGCTGTTTTCCGTTTATGCTTCCACCGACTGCAGTTCAAATGCTGTCAGTGACACGTTTTATCACGAACTGAACGCGTTACTGTGCCGTGCTACTTGTTCAGATATTATATTACTTGCAGGGGATATGGACGCACAACTAGGGCCTCTGAGCTCTTCAGAAGCTCAGCTTGGTGGTAAGTATGGACTTAACTCCGAACGGACTGACAACGGCGAGCATCTGCTGCAACTGAAGTCACTGACGACCAAACTTGGTGAAGTCGGTCCGTCTCGTTTTCCGGGCTGTAGTCCACGTAACCCGCCTTGTGCTTGGTTCGAGACTTTACAGGATATGGCTCGTAGTCGACACCAGTGGCGCGTCTGCTGCTGTCTCCTAGTCGGACTGCTTGAAGCTGAGTTATCTGAGGTGGGCAATGACTGAATATGACGCGGGGCAGTGAAAGCCGCAAGGAAGCTGCCTCGCTGATGCACGATAACCAGTTGTTTGTGACGGTATGTTGTTTACAAGGTATAGGCGCCTTGACTCTGAATGTTTGCTTAGGACATTAAGGTTTTCAGATATGCCCCTCTTTTCTCTCTCTTATTCCTTATTACATAGGTTATCGTGGTTGTATGGCAGCGAAGAATCAGCTCAAGTGACTAATGTACTGCTGCTCTTGTTGTGTTGCTGTTGTTGATTATTCATATTATTATCAACCTCTTAACCTTTTTTGTAAGATTCACCTGATCCCCCCAAAGTATTTGGAAACTGCCGTGGAAAACCTTGGAAAATGTCATTTGTTCCGTGCGATTTTACTGTAATTGACCACCAGACTATTCAGTTGGATTGTGCCTCGCACTGTCGAAGAATATGCCATTTCTTTAATTATCTACTTATGGTGGAACTGAGAGAGGATTGAACGCGCAATCCAACAGGAAATAAGTAGTGGGGAGCATTAAAGACGCTTCTGTGGGTTATAACCAATGTGACGAGTGTAAATGTGCCATTGACTCCTTTGGTGACTCTGATGTTGCAAATTCTAACGACTCTACAAATTAACAGCACACCTCAACTCGACAAGACGTCTCGAACAGTTTCGTCGTTTAGCATAACCTATTTTTAGTGAAGTACGCATGCTGAGACGGGCTCCAGTCTGGCGCACGTGGTCTAACCGGCGTAAGTGGTTCTTTCTCTTCAAATGTCAACGGAGCCCGCAGTTTTCGTCTACATTGCTGAAAACAAATGCGATCCATTTTTGCATCTGATCCGATCTGCGCGCCTTATGGGTACTGATAGGCCTTCTTGCGTAACGCGATACACTACGTCCAAATGTAATTGTATACTGGTTCAGTCGTTTTACTTACAACCCCAGCATCTGGAGTCCGTGTCACCAATTCTTTTCGAGTTTACTCGCTTATACAGCATCCACTGCCTCGTACAACCAACATTTGCGTGACAGCGAGACATTATTGCATAGTACTGATGTGCTGTTGTTTTCTTCGTCTATGGCATGTTGTCTGTCGGTTAAGGCGTACGATTTTCGGCCTTCGCTTTGGGTTTAAGTTCCAGCCCCTCCCTAGGCCTGAGCTTCCCATCATTATGTTAGCCCGAGTAGGACGGTTTGTGTTTGCATGACAAAGAAGCCTCGGCGCAATACACTATTAAGTTGCTGATACCATTTTCCTGCTTCTGTTTACGGCGTGTGTCAATAGTGTCATAGTATCCTCCAGCCTCATCACTCCCTTATTTACCATCGTGGCAGTGGTGTTTCCCCCTTCTTGTTTACGGTTGCTTTTTCGGCTTTTCCTTAATCAACTCTATGGAAGCGCCGCACCGCACCAGCAACTTTATTTACGATCTTCTGTTCGCCAACTTTAGAGCTCTCTTTGCTCTGGAATTCCTCATTATAACTGATGGAAACGATAGTATGTTCGGTTACCGCATCTAACGAGCGCCAGTGCGAAGCATCACGCTCCGGTAGTAGCTCAGTGCAGTGGGTAAGCCATGAGTGGCCACGGGAAAAGATGACTGATCATGGTACACCGCTGTAATCCATCAGTAAGCAAAACCCAATCCTAAATCAAGACCAAAGTGGTTAGGATTGGGTGACTCGAACATCCATGTTGTGATGTGTTAGACTTGTACATGCATGTTTTTAGCCTGAACATCCTATTTTGTTCGATCTTGCGTTTGATGCCTTCCATTTGGATTAGGGTGCCAGTCAGGAAGAGCAAAGGACCTGGAGTAAAGTGCTTATCTCCACAAAAGAATCTTCCAGGCATCACTTTGAGGCGTTTTTCCACAGTTAATCCTCCTCACGATTAACCGAACTGTTCACTGCGGAAAGTCCGTTCCTGTTTTTTTTCATTTTAAAATAACTTAAACTAAACTGATGAACCTACTTGATTCATTTCGCTACTGTTCCTTTTTCAGCTTGTCAACTCCATCCTGCGCTGAATTAGTGGGATCGTTTCCTCCTTGTCGATCCATCCTGAGCCTCGTCAAAGCAGACGATTATTTGGTCTGGGCTGACTCAAGTTCTGTAAGCTTGCGTATTGTTATTTCCCTGTCACTCTACTACCATTTCAGCATCGTACATCATTTCACCCAACAATCGTTGTCTTCAGGTTGTTTTCCTCCTGACTCGGTGCAGTTCATTTGGTAATTCATTAGTTCAATCAGGAAATTTGTTAATCAACATCTCACTTTCATCAGCCGACTCGTATCTACTTTTCGTACCATATCTTAAAACAAAAGGCTTGTTTTGTCTCCTGCAATTTAGCCGTTGGCTATGCAATCGCCACTGGACTTGCTGATGCGTAGTGCTGCACGCTTCTGCATGTGCTCCGCACCTTCCAAGTGCAAGGTGCTGTCTCAAGGCTGGATCGATGCGACACCAGTTTCAGCCATCATCGAACAACCAGTGGAATTGGTCGATTGGTTCACTTGCCTTGGTAGTTGTGTCACCACTGATGGTCACATCCCTGCGAAGGTTGCTTCACGCAAGATCTCCTTCACAAATTGGGTGTACAACGCTGCGATATGACTGGTTTTACTTTATGGACCAAATTAACCGTTAGTTCTGTGGACATTATGGAATTGACCCTTTAATTGTCGGTACTTGCGGAGTATCGATCACACCTGATAGAACACCGGGCGAGCGCTGCCAACATCCTCCAGTAAATAAATGTACAGAAACTACCTCGTTCTGCCTCTTGTTTTTAATGCTTGACCTTGTCTAGATCATATCCTCCGTATGTCCGTTGGATGCCTTCTTCGACGTACATTGTGTGGTGCCGTTGCAAGTAGTTGGGCGAAAATGCGAAGTAGGCATCCGATGACTTGGGTTGAGACTCGCAGAGATTGGACACAGACGACCTGGCTGGTACCTGCGCTCGTCGTGGGTAGGGCCTTTGGGACAGCCCGTGTCAGTGGTTGGAGATGTCGCCAGCGTTGGTCCAGTCTTGCAGTCGATAATGCTTCTGCATGCGCTTTCTTTCACCCCGTTGTTAACATTACATCTCCATAAGTTTTGTTCACGATTTCCTAACCCCTTCTTTCTTTACTTCATTTAAGTTCCACCCCATTTTTCTCGCCATCGTTGATCATCGTTATGCTAACATCCCGGGTCAAACAGATGTATCCAACATATTCCGGTTCCCGAATTATAGTTCATCTGACCTGAGCTGCATTAACTTGCACCGTGATGAGTTTCTGCGTGAGCCTCTCCAGCCGACACTCTATTGGGGCCCTTAAGCGCAGCTTGCGCCAATCAGTTCAGGTCTACAGATCAACTATAGCTTAGCCTACTAAATCGCAATGGATTCCACCGCATCGGCCTTGACTCACCTTACCAGTAATACACCTAAACTAAACTATGATTACTCAAAAAGAATTGACGTAGATCACCATAACTCCTATGTCCTTCGCCACACACCTACTTCGGACGGACCATCAGATTGACCCCGACTCGGCATTTACCGCCGTCTATCGCTGTGAAAACTCAAAAGTAATTCAGTTTGCTGGGGCCGTAATCTTTGATCAGTAACATTCCACCTTGTGCGTGCAGCAGCAACTGACCGTTGCTCCTAAACCACCGGGTGAGATGGGCTTTATCCAACTCACTGATGTCTTGGTTGCGTCCTTGACTTTCTCTCCTGAACAGTAATTTTGTTGCTGGTTTGCAAGTGCGCAGATACATGGTGCCACTTCGCAGTACTCTCTTCCTCTTACCATATTGTTCAGAAAATGAGGTCGTCCATTGAACTGTTTACGAATCCGCAACCAGGTAAGTAGTGCAACGGAACCGTTGAATGTCTCATATCCGTAAGGTATAACGCACTGATTTTGTCGATTCCAAGACTCACATCGAAGAAGATGGCAGACGTCAGACCTGCTTAGCCTTTCGCTGAGTTTCGTCTTGCTCTTTTGTCTCGTCAGCAAGTGATTGCCACCGGGAGTTTAACACAGTTAGACACAGTGCTAACAAGCAATGCACACCGAATTAGCCCGCTAACTGGCATTCGGAGGCATATCCTAGCCAATTTCGTTGACTCAGTAGCCACACAAACGCGGCGCTTGAGTGTCAGCTCACTCGTTCTGTGCTCCCGTCAAAGTGCGAACTATTCCCCAGGCGCCGGTAGTCAAAGGTGATCAGTCTTTCAAAGTTGTCAGCGCGCGGCGGCCTGGTCTCTCACCCTTACTTCCACATTGATAGCCTCACTGCACTTTTCCTCTGATCAATAAACCTATATCCAACGGTCTGCATCAGTGCTTGATGCTTCAAAAATCCACGGCAACTCCACCTATAGGCACGGTTGCCTCGGTGATGCAACCACAGGCGCTATGGCTAATTAGGTGAGTCAACCAATCTGCGCGGTTCTTCTAAGCTTGTGTAGACTGGTGCGGTGTCATTCCACTGTTGCAATTATGCAGGTCCGCAGCCATCACCCATAGCTTAGTGGCACAAGCTGCTGTCATCCGGAAGTCATGGGATCGGAACCCGACAAAGGATAAAGAACGCGCACAACTGACAAGACTCAGCAGGTCGAAAAAGCTGTCTGGTGCTTTTTCAAACGCGTGGGAACCTACGTGACTGAGAGGGGACTGCGACGAACTACATCCAGAATGTTGCAACAGTGTCTGGCGTTCGGGATTCGCAATACAAATATCGAAAATAGCTACACTTGTCATCAGCTTGTCAATTGTTACTTGCATATCAGCCGGATTTAAGCTATATCGAGCTGATAGAATTTTACCCCAGAAAATGGGCAAGGCAGGAGTCATTTCCCATCACTGCGCAGAAATGGAGAATTAGAGCAGCCCTGTATACTTCAACTGTAGTAGTGAGCTGTGGGGAGCGTTTGTTGTGAGCTTTTACAAGGCCCGGGCTCTCGCGACTTTGAGGTTTCAGGGTATAAATGAATTTCCTTAGTTTGCTTTTCTAAGCCATGCAGTACTGCAGGTTCGAGCTGCGAACTGAGTCAAATACAGCTTTCAGTTCAAGATATCCGACATACTGGGTTGCCCGTATGCATTTCGCTGTTTAAAGTTTTCTACTTTTAATCTTTGACTCAACAGTCTCGTCCTCGGAGTATTGGGTGAAGAAGGGGCCTGTCCCCTTTAACGAAACTCTCTGAAGCACTTAGGAAGAGACAACACGTCCAATTTGGACGAGTGACCGCTGTATTTTATTGTGATGCGTCCGATTGCTACCGTATTCAGCCTTTGAAGACTCGCAACTAGTCGTGCATGTCTTTCGACCATCGCCAACTGTACAGCTGAGCATCCGTAACTGTCACCTCCCATAACGGCTTGAAAAAGTGGTCCAAGAACCTCGCTTATTATTCAATAAAGATTTTGTCAAATCTCTAGCTATTGCCTCGTTCTGCCGAGAACAAACCATTGATTTTTATTTTTCATCCCACCAGCTCTCAAGCTACATAGCTCAGTCACAATCCGGAAACGCACCAGACGCGTTTCGCCCTATTGAAGCCCGTCAGTGCAGCGCTTTCCATCGGTACCCTACTGGGGATCGAACCTATGACCGCTAGAGGCAGATGCCAACTACCAGCAGCTTAAGCCACTGAGCCATGGGGGACGGCAGCTGGGCTAGATAATTTGCAGGCTAACTGGGACATAGCACAGCCTATCTTATTTATTATGAGTTGCTCTGAAGACACAGGGATGTCCCCATCCAGTATAACTATGTTGTCCCCCTCGCGACGAGACTGGACCTTAAGGTAGTGCGATGGTTTATGTACCTCCGTGACCCATTTAGCTACACTGGGTGGCAGTTTCCAACTTCCTTCAGAGCCACTCATACCAGACGCGTCATTGGTTAGAGGTCAGGCTCACTCAGTCTCACAGTAGTCGTCGGTGATTACGGTGAGTTCGATGACCCATCTCTCGTAAAACCTAGCCATGTTAGACAACAGGTCTACGTATTATAAGCTCACAGCTCGATTGGCGTAGACCACGAACGCCACGCGGTCCCTGACAGTAAGTGGGCATCGCCCGGTGCTCACGGGTTTGCTACTGCCCGCCTCTAGCTAGACAGTTTACCTACGGTTACCCGTGGTCACAAGTGCGTAACGTTCTATGGCCGTAAAACACTTGTGCATTCTTCTAAACCTTCAAAGGCTATGTGCCAGTTCTCAAGCAGATCCCATTTGGTTTCTGCAACCCCACTGCCGAGCTGGAATTGCTCCCTTTGTAGGTCAGGTTATTGAGCCAATTGCCCTGGGTGAAGTCTATCGAGCGAACTTCCATGAACCCCTTTGCCTTGTGAGTTAGACTTTTGCGTCAAAGGCTAGAGGTAGAGCACTTCGAACAATATCCTCCTTTCGGAGTAGATAGCCGGAGAGTATCATCAGCCCTCTTGACTCCGTTGGAAATATTCCCTCTCCTTGTTTTTCTCTTTCTTCTCAACTCTTCTTCCTCGTCTGTTGAACAAGAGACTGTCGCTAACCTCGCAGCTGCTGACGTGAATGCATGTAGCTCCTCCATCAAACCTAGAGTGTCACTTCACATTGGTTCCTTTAAGGTTCGCACTCCGGATCAGCTTGGCCAACAAGCATCACTAACTCTTCACTCTCTTCGACCCTGTTGACCGCGGCAGCTTGTGGTACTGCGTATCCATGAAGTGCGTACCAGCTGAAAGCATTTCCATTCTGATGTTTCTCTCGTGATTCCCAAGACCTTGTATGGGTCTACGTTTAATTGTATTCTGAGTTCCCCACAACAAGTGGGGTTCTCCAGGGTGGTTCTATATCTCCGTTCCCCTTCAGTTTTGTAGGCCGTACCGTTTACCTTAAGCATCACAAGCCTGCCTTGCAATCCGACAGCGCGGATTGGAGCCTACGTAGTGGGCCGGGCGACCCTCGCAGTATCGTTGGCCCACGTGCTATACTGGTGGTGATTGCGCGGCAGCAAAACGTCGATACTGCCTACTGGTGTACTGCTGATGCTGTTTTTCAACTTTGTGATCAAAATGGCCATGTATACCTCGGTTCTTTCAGACATCACCGGAGTGGAAGTTTTGCCAGATGCCCGACTGACAAACCTTGAGTATGCTCTCCTTGGATCTGACACAGTGGCTCTATAATCACTACTGAACAAACACGCTTTGTGTGTGCTTTGCATCCTCAAAGTGAAAAGTGCTGTCGCGGGACTGGGCCGATACGCCCTCGGTTTTAGCTATCATCGAACAACTGGTGTAAGTGGTGGATCGATTAACGTGCCTTGGTAGATGTGTCATCTATTGTGGTCACATCACTGAGATATAACTCCGCATAGTAGTAACACCTGTATGACATTTCAGAGGCTCAGCTGTCTATGGACTTGGCTCGACATCAGCATGTCAGTGAACGATGTATAACACTGTGATAAAGCCGTTGTTAGTGCATAGACCAGAGACATGGTGAGTTCGCAATTAGGACATTAAACGCTTGGCTGCGTTTGATCACCGCTGCTTGCGGAGTATTGCTTACGCCTGGTGCGAACACCAGATGAGTAATGCTGAGGTCCGCCAGTTTTTTTGGCAAGAAGCCTTTGGTGCCTTACTCAGCGTGCATTATACGCCGTGGCTGTACCAAATTGGACGAATATTCAAGGTGGCTGTTCGATGACGCGGCATCAAGTTGTACAGAAATTAATCGCGTGACTCGGTCAATGTGATACATACTTTCTTCGTGTATGTGGCCCGGGGATGGTCCACACCAATGGTTGGAGACCCTTTCAGTCATGAGGCAGTTGTGCAGTCAGTGGCGTTCCTGCATTCTGTTTCTTGCATCTATCTTATTTGTTAATCCGTCAAGATTCGTTTAAAATGCTTCCTAATTCCGTTTTTTCGTGTTCTCTTTTCGTTCAACCTCATTCTCTTACTGTTGTCAGTTATCGTTGTTCTGACGACGTGAATTACGACAACGGGATCCACCGCACTTTGGTGCCCTGATCATTGTTGTTAACTTGAACTGAACTGTCTAGTACATTGTATGACGCCGGCCATTGCACCACGGTAAGGATCCGTCGTGTACACTCCAACTACTGTGCGGTACTAGCGCACCACATCAAGCCACATCGCGTTCCTCTTCCATGCGATCAGAAGCACTTCATATTAGCGCCCCTTCCTTCCCATTTGAGCACAGGTTTTAGAGTTACCTTACTTCCTTTAGCTTCTCTTCGTCTCCGTATCGTTGTGCTTCTTCGATATCATCTTATTATACGAAGCTTCATATCAGACTGTAGCGTGTCATATACCTGTGGCCGTATCATCCGTATATGATCGATCTTCCTCGCTTTTCACACCACTGTCGTTGGTTCCTTGCATAAATTCAATACGCTGACATGTGTTTGGGTTGTCTTCTCGCTTTTATCCTGCAATGATGCGCATAGCGAATGGTCTTTTAAGGGATTGGAGAGCCGACTGGTGGTTCCATTCGCACCAGAACTTTCCGTTACCTCCAGTGGTCGCATTGTTATCTATGGGGTTGCCTCGGTTACAACATAAAGTTTTGATACTACCACGTGCTTTACAAGGTATATAGCGGACGCAAACTCTAGTGGTAGATTATCTCGCTTTTGTTCCTTTTCTTTCTTTGGCCCCGTGGAATTTATAAGTTTCATTCCTATGATTTCCTTTCGTGAAATATTGGTTGACATCAATCACAACCGTCTAACTTTTTGTTCTACTGCATCCCTAAGATACTATTTTTCGGTACATCTTTTATCCTATTTCACAGTCGGGTGAGGTTGTTGTACAGGCCGGAATCATCGATGCCTTTGTGGTGTACTTAACTTCGTTTGGAAAAACCTCTCCATCCTGTAAGTTTCTCAGGAACATCTATTTTCCGTCTAGCTTTACGCCTAACTGTTTTATTAGCGTGTTCGACGTTGTGAATGACCCTGGTCATTTGCTCGCCCTCCTTTCTATGCTGCGTTGCGTCCGCTTTCAATTCCATGACTCGCCTGCACTCCTATTTGGGTAGTCGCGTCCGTCACGTTCTAATACATCCTGTCGCAGGACATAAGTTCGGAATATTCACCGATTTCCTTGTCTGTATGTTTCGTTCATAGACAGCACCCCTGAAAAAGTGCACTCAGGTGAAACCACTAGGGGTCCACCATCGTGCGACTGAGTACATCGACGTAGTTGTTAAGACTCCAGCCTACCATAGGAAGCATCTCGAGTCCCGAATACCAACACTCAAACAGAACGGGCGAGCGTTTCAAAATCTGATCGATTCACGAATTATAGGTGACGGTGTTATCTTGTTTGGCTTTATCCATGGTGATCCATTATACATGCCGCCATCTATGCTCCATTCTGGGAAGTCCAAAGTACAGAGATAGTGAACGCAGCACCAGAAATCCTTCGACCCTCCTGCGCGTTGCACCGTCACACTAGCTCATTAGCGGCATGCTATCGATGGATAAGGCATTACTTGTTTCTCGTTTCCGGTCCAGTTTTTCCTCTGACTAACAGTGCACCCGAATTTTGTACGGCGCTGCGCAAGTACCAGCGGTTGTGTACGGACCTGTTTTCCACGCTGTTGTGTTCTGTGGCTGCGCCAAGCGATCGCCTGTGCACGGCGTTCACAACGCGGGCAGCCTGTGATAGATCAGTCGAGCAGTATACTAAATATAGTGCATCACAGTATCCACTCGGTAAGCAAAGCGTACTCGCACGTCAAGGTGACTAGAGGCCACGAACGCCCATTTAGAGACGTGTTTTACCAATCTTTAGCCACAAATCAGCTTAGTCTAGTCTTCACCCTTATATCTTTTCGTTTGGTTTAAAGCTCTAGGCAGAGGGCACGGACAACCAGCGCTGCGACAGATCACTTGAATCCACACGCACTTAAATCGGCAACCTTTAGATTTCCAATCAACTCCATGACTCACTTCCCCACCGGTACCGCAGGTTACTTCTTCAGTTCCACTCCTATTCCTCGGTGCCTGTGCTGTCTTATTTAGCCAGCAGCATCTGAGCACAACAGTGTAAACCACATCTTCTTTTTGTTTCTCTTTTCTGCTAGTTTATCTGTTCTTCGAAACATTCCTCGCTATGTACCCTTCGTTTCTGTCCACCGAGAGTCTGCTCGATCGACTGCTTCTGCGATACCGCTGTTTCCGTGCTGACGGAGGGGAACAGCAGCTCACTGATGCAGATCGTCAGCTGCACACCAAGGTGTGCAATGCAACAGCCTCTATTGTGGTCACTGTGGTAAGTTTCATGAGTCCTATTTGTTCCCATTTTCCCCCACCTGCTGGAACCCTCAGTTGATCTGTTGGTGCTATTTACCCTATCCGCAATCACGTTCCTCATTTTCCACGTTTAATTTCAAAACGTTGTGTTTCACTGTTCCCTTTGTTTACTACTGTTTGTGATAAGCTACTGAACGCTTTCACCCAGTTATTTTCAATTGCAACTACTTGCTTCTCTTGACCTCCACCTGTGGGACTCAAACCCACGGTCATCCATCATCTCTGCAAAGTATCCGCTCAAGTCCTGCGTTCGAGCGGGTAACACAGCACTTTGGAGTCCCGATAAAACGAGATGACTACCCGGTGTTTTTCTTACTGTGTTTTGGCTGTGCTTTAGTCTCGACGTGGAAAAAACCGAAAATTACACAAATCTCTGTAGGGTATCTTTAAAAATGAATCATTATATGAGTTTACAGCGGTCAATGCCATCGCTTCTGGAATTTCACGCCTTCCGTCTGTTCGGCCGTACACGTCTGGAAAGTAAAAAGGCCTTTGAAGACGGCGGAGATTATTTCTATTCCATATTTTATCTTACACAAAATAACGACGGCTCCAGAACCTTGTAGTATCTTAACATTACATACCTTACATTACGTTGTCGCTTGACTGGCTTCCCAGGTTCAAACTGTACTTTATTACACATCGCCTAGTTAAGTCACTCGAATTCTCCGCGCATACTTTAGATAGACTACATATCTACTACCTTCGATTACCTAGCCCGGTGTCTAATGTTGTTTTTGCAAGAATACTATCCCTTGTTGTCTGGTTAAGCTCACGCATCGGCAACACCACCTTCTTGAGACTCTTATTAGAAGAATGCTTCACCCACAATTCGTGTTCTAGTTTTCGTTTTGAGCAATGAAATGGGACTATTTGGTCTGCTGAAGCTCAGCATACTCCGTGCTTCACTCGGACTTCTGTTTATCTGAAATTCAGTGCTCGGTTGGAAGAGGCCAGTTTGAAATTGAAATTCCTCACCGAATGTTTACAACTGACGCAAACTGAGTTCGATGTTTTGGCGAAGGACCCACACATGGGACCAACTGCTTCGGCTTCTGTCGCCAAATTGACCACCGCTTCAGTTGCACACGGTTGCTTGATGTACGTAGGTTGTAACTGAACAGCCTGATTTTATACAATCGTAACTAAGTGTTTTTTCCTGTCGCCATCACAAATGCTCAATCCTCAGTAAACATCGATTACCAAATGTCGGAAACCGATGCCTGTCATCCACTCGGACCGGTCGGGGCACCCATTCATACAAGATCACCATAGAAGGAGAGGCTTTCTAACATCTACTGTTTAACCAGAGAGGGAGAGATGTCACATGGACGCCACGTATGTCTTAGCGTGTGCTCTTGTCATTTGCGTTGTCGCTGCGGACGTAATGGAGCGAAGGTTGAATCGTAGATGTGCTCAGCAAAGATGTGCTCGAGCAAATGATTGTATACCCAGCTGTTAACTTCCCTTGAGTTTACGAGTACGTTTGACCGGTGCAATAAGGTCGAGTGGTGAATGGCTTGAAATGCCAGAGCGTTGAGATAAATTCTGCCCTCGTACGAGTCGTTGAATGATTATTGCCTAGTAATTGAAGTAGATACTTGCACCAAAATACTTTTACTAAAAATACAGATGGGAGCATCCATGTACATGTCTCTGCATCTGGAAATTTACCTCATCGGTCCAGCAAGCATGTCTGTATAGATGAATTGGAGAAAACGATGGGCAAATCTTAAGCTATTTGTCCATACTGTATGGAGTTTCGATTTTGTAAATGAAGTCACAGGAGACCAGAATAGAATTTGTAACAGGAAACACCCAAATATCTAATGATCGATGAATTGCGTGTGGTTTGGTCGCCCACATCCATGGGCGGGATACTTTTTAGGGCATATTATTTTCGAACTGCACGAAGGAAGATATATTGCATCACAATGCTTGAAAGCGATTAGGGCAGGGGACGTAGATGTGAATCACTTTAGCATCAAACTCCTCTTCATTCATCGGAACTGTTTCTGAACCCGCAGCGACTTCGGTCAGAAACTGATCTGCTGGAGAATGCGTCACTGATTCTGTTTACGCTTCGATTTACTGAACTATTTATTCTCGCTACTACACTAGGATAAACACGTTTTGCCGTAACTTCGCTCACGCGTAACAGCACGCCTAACCATGTTGCCGGCAATCTCATGTTACGATAAGTATTGTGCGAATTATCCGAGTGGAAAGAAGGCATTAGTATCCTGTGCGCTTGAGTTTGAGTCTAGCCACCCTGGTAATTCACGAACGATTACCTTCCTCTGGTAAGGTCAGGGAAGAGCGTGTCTGCTTGTTCGTGGAATTTCTATTAACTGATGAACATTGTGCCATCAAAACTCCCAACAGCTATTTAATATATCTTACAGGAGGAATGCGATACTGCTTCTGCGCGCACCACAGCCTTATCGGTGCACTTGTGTTTACATTTTATTGGTCAGTTTTATTTCCACCTTCTTTAGGTGACTTTTCCCTGTGTTTCGACCCAGGATGGAAGTTGCGACATCAACCAGTCGCTATAGGTGTCCCGGGAAGTCAATTTAGTATTCTGAAGTCAAGTTGAAATTTCTTCCTACAAGTGACATCTATCATTCAAACTGTTTCCACCTACACTGAGGCCGTTCCACGAGGTTTTTTCTGTATAAATTAGTGAACGATGGTGGTATTACCATCTGGCCTATGCCGCTACTTAACAAACCACTTCACATACCTAAACCAATAATAATAATGTGTATTCTCAGTTTTACGATGCATACCCTGTTCAGCATGATCATATTGTTACAATTGTTTCGTATAGTTCAGCAGCATATTCCATATGTCAGGCAGAAATAAATAAAATAACGTTTTTTTATCTGCTAGGGGTTTGCAGTTCAGAGCCTTGTTTGGGCACCGAATATGTCATAGCGTCCTGACGGCGATCTTTTTGTACGGACGGAACCGCGTTTTCATGTCCCTGGGCAAAGGATGAGAAGCAACTTTGATGATATGAAAAGATTAGAACTGAAATCACACCATTTAAACAAAGCATCTGATGTAGTTAAATCATTTAATATACATTGTGGCGTTGTAAAAAGCTTGTTGAAAGACGGGGATATTTATTTACTTACATTTTAACAGCTGTACATCTGGGCCGAGACAGATAGAATGGGCGATTTATCTGTTGTGTGTCAGGTGAACATGATTGGTACTTGTCAACTGGCTCAGGTATTTTAATATAACTGTATGCTAGGCGTGAGCGAGTGAGAGGAAAATTAACAGAAAATCTTTTGAAATGGTGATGTTGCAAACCGAATCGATTCACTTCACCGTGATGCCCGACATGAAAGCTACATGGGTAGCATAGACAAGTAAGAGAAGAACGAGTGGTAAAATCAAATGAAGGCGGATAAATTCAGTCAGCGTTTCCTTATTAGCTCACACTTTTTTGTATGGCTGTAAGGTAGGCGTGCCTGAGTAAGCAGAATATGAAGAGGAGGAGACAGAAATAGTTATCTCAATCTCAGTTCGCAATTCATCTGCAGTCCACACGTGTTGGTGTATCTGTGAATTATGCATTCCCGAATAAAGATAAAAAGTGGGTCGGGTGAATAAGAGTGAAAGGAGTTCTGGCAACAATATGTCTTTTTTCCAATACACCTCTTCAGCAGGGCTTGACCAAGTGCATGCAATCTACGTAGCACATTTCATCTACATTTGTCAGCAATGCACTTAAATCTCGGCCCCCCCCCTCTTCAAGTAACACTTTTTCATTGCACTTTCGTTGCAACATTGTTTTTACGTATTGCACCTTCAGGTGCTGTTAAACAGCGCTTGTGAGTCGCATACTCACATTTTCATAGCGGGGCTGTTCCAGATCTCAGTGTATCTGTTTAGGAAGAATTTTCTTCGGACATACGTTTCCGTTTTGAACGCCAGAAGTTTCTTGCTATTTCTAACTGCGTAACTAGATTCATTTTTGAAGTGGATATTGATATTTGGCGCGAAAACGCGCTTATGGATCAAATCAAAGAGGAATGTTAATCCATGGTTTATATGTCTTAGCCACAGTGGCTCCAGTTTTAGCATCTTACAACCTTCAGATTACTTAACTTTAGACGAAGAGTTAGAGAGCCTTTATGAATGATCTCCGCACATTTTCTTGGCACATACGGTCACGTTTTCTGTTGTTTGTAAAGTATACCGAACAGTACATGGCGAACCCTGACCTTAGACAAGTGCAGTTTAGGTTTACGCATCGAGAATGATTTTAAGAAATGTTTTGCGCTTCTTCGTGATCTGGTCGTTATGAATACAATTTATTCACCAAAATTCAAGTACCGAATGCTCAGATCTCGTATAGTCTTATTGCAGGGGATTGGTTTACCATCAAGGTAAAGTGCATTCGGCGAAAGTTCGCACTTGTCCGCTGAGAAAGACATTTGCCAGTCAGTGCACCACGATTCCAAGGCCAGTAGGTCTTTGCGAATGTTTTCTCAAGGGTATCGCTCAAACACCGGATACTGAAGGTGTATAGTATTTTTATATCATCCGCAAAGGTGTAGGGTGTCCCCAATCTTTTTTTCAGTTGTATCATTGATATACATTAGGAAGAGCAAGGGACCTAACACACTTCCTTGAATCACACCACTTTTGATCTTCAATGGTGAAGACTTAGTATGTCCTATTTGTACCTGCTACGTACGATCAGATAGATAAGATTTGAACCATGAGTGGAAGGGGATCAGTGATTCAGAAATTGGTTAGCTTCACCAAGAAGTTGTGCGGCATTCTGTCAAAGGGCTTCTGCATATCAATAAAGTGAATGCTGATTGCTTTTCCATTGTCAGTAGACCTTGTCAGCTGGTTTAGAAAAGTTACCTAACTAGTCTGACATGAGCGCCTTTGCATAAACCCATGTTGAATTGGGTTTATTAAATTCATTGA